CCCCGGCCCCGCAGGACCCGGGGTAGTTAATTCGGACCAATAGTACTGTCCTCACGAACCACCACAAGCCTTTTACCGCGCACTTTGTCCTCACTCATGCGCGCCCTGAGAAACTTCCCAGGGGGTCACCCATCCCAAGACTACTCTCGTGCGAGCACGCTTAACTTTGGAGTTCTTGGGTAATGAGCTCCCTTAAAAGGAGATGCACCTCTGTTGGTACGAGTAGTACTATTAATCCATTTATATTAAATCTCAAGTGTTACAATCACCCCCACTTAGGATCGCAACGTCCTCGTTGCGCCCTTAAACCAATCTCAATCACACCCCAAAATCTTTTCCCCTGCTAAGTGTCTGCCTGATATCCAACGGATCAGCACACTGTCGCAGGGTTGCTCTGATACCACCTGTAACACCCCGGCCCCGCAGGACCCGAGGTAGTTACTTCGGACCAATAGTACTGTCCTCACAAACCACCACAAGCCTTTTACCGCGCACTTTGTCCTCACTCATGCGCGCCCTGAGAAACTTCCCAGAGGGTCACCCATCCCAAGACTAGTCCCGTGCGAGCACGCTTAACTTTGGAGTTCTTGGGTAATGAGCTCCCTTAAAAGGAGATGCACCTTTGTTGGTATGAGTAGTACTATTAATCCGTTTATATTAAATCTCAAGTGTTACAGTTATAATCCCACACCAGAAAAGTTTGAATCAACAAAGTGCTATATTAAGATATGGGCTACTCCTCTTATCAGGTTGACCTTTTATGAAGGGACTCCGGGCCTTAACAATTAACTATTGTATCTTGCGTGTTTTGAAATTTATAAAGACTTTATGTATATGTATATAGTATCCGTGTTCATAATTAACAAACAAGCATTAATGCTCTTTTGTACTTCTATGATGAGCGTTTTTCACTCTTTGTTGCACTTTAAACTTTCATATAATTATCATGATCATCATATTGTCAAATGAAAAATCGATCATATCCATCCATCTATAGATGGAAATTCAAGATTTATTTTCTTATGTTACGTTTCTTTTAATTACTTATTGTTTTTAAAGTATAAAGTAATATAATGACTGATAACTTATGATGTTTTTACTTGGACCGTAATTTGTCCCAGACCAGTTCAGACCAGACTAGACCAGACTTGGATAGTTATAAAAATACAAAGAAACCAGACCAGATCAGACCAGACCAGCAAATTACAGTTCAAGTAAAAACATCCTTACGGATAACCATAACCTTAACATATGAGGGTTGAAACTGAGAAAGACGACGTTCCGTAGTGTGAAATTTCCTAAGTTGCATTACAAAATAATTCTCAAAATCCTCTAGTGCTTGTAAGGATGTATTAGCAACCTCCGTCCCAAAAAAATTTCCATTTTCAAAACTTCTACCGACTATAACTTTTTATTGAAAATTATTTATGATATAAAAATTACATGAAAATGTTCTTTGTTGAAAGTACTTTCATAAAAGTACAAAACTTATAACTTCCATAATATTATACTTATTAAAATAAGGGTTCAATTTTTTTGAAATGACAGTTTTTTGGGTCGGAGGTAGTATGTTAGACCTGTCACCAATTGTTCTTAAGACTAACCTTGTTTAAGATTGGAGATAGCAACAACTAATAGTTTTCATATTTTGTTAAGATCTACTATCTTCGCCCCACTATATTTGAGACAAAGGGGTGTGACACAATTTTTAAGAAAAAATGAAATTGTGTTGTTGGTTTTGAATTGATAGTGTAAATTAAGTAAAAATTAATTATAACCACTCAAATATTACAGAATATGATATGAGACAAATTTAATGAGATGAACAAAAAAATAAAGGGGATAGTTTTGTGTTAAATTGATCATGTGGATGTTAGGATAGGTGTAAACAGGGTCGTAGTTATGGAGTTTTGTCGGGCTTGTTTCACCCCAAATTTGAAACAAGAACTTCAAATTTGTGTGCAAAAATTATTTGAAAACAATCATTATATCAACTTACCTAATGTGCATGTGCTCCTACCAAGTACCAATCCCTCGGTGTTTTTAGGATGTTTTTACTTGGACTATAATTTGATGGTCTGGTCTGGTCTGGTCTGAACTGGTCTGGTCTGGTCTGGTAAGGTCTGGTTTCTTTGTATTTTTATAACTATCCAAGTCTGATCTGGTCTGGTCTGGTCTGAACTGGTCTGGTCTGATCTGGACTGGTCTGGTCTGATCTGGTCTAGTCTGGAGTAAATTACAGTCCAAGTAAAAACATGTTAAAGACTATGAGAACATTTCCAATATATATTCATTTTTAGTTTAGGCGTGTGGCGCAAAAGCGGGTGTGATATATGCAGACAAAAAGTGCAAAATACAATTTTCCCTTATTTAGAAGAGTTTGAAAACAAAATCAATTGGGGATTTTCTACTAAAATGTTACTATGTTAGTTGCATAATGTGTATATTAAAATGGGCACAAATCCATTGTACGTCTTCAACATATAACCATATGACTATGTTTACACCATCACACATTAGCAAATATTTTGATCTTAGGATGTCCTTTAATGAAATTGTAATTTTTTTTATTTTATCCGATCTAACGGTCTATGTTTAATGTTTAAGCTAATCCAGTTTGGTAGATGTATGCTTAATGTTTATTTTACAACTGTTGAATGTTTGATCTGACTTAATTTGAGTTGAGATTGAATCCAATCAATTACAACCATACTTAGTTTAACATCCCTGAATTTACACCTTAAAATTTTGTCGAACACTGTGAGGCCGTTTGGCAACACAACAACCAATTTTTGCTTTCTCGCGTTGAATTGTGTAATAAGCAAAAAAAGTAAGATTGGTGTTACTTTTCTGCTTGTATTGGCTAAAGATACTGTAGATGATCATTTTAGCTATTTTTACATATAATTTTTTTTTTTATTTTATTAATATAATATATTTTAAAAATAATTTATTCTTAAATGAGCAGAATCAACCAATGCAGACTCTTCAGCCAGAACTTCATAAATTTCAGCAGAATCAACCAAATCAGCCAATTTTCGTACTACTAAACGGGCTCTATGTGTAAAATTGTAAAAACATGAATACGCAAAAGCTACATCAATTGAAAAATAGAAAAAAAAAACGGTGAGGTGTTTGAAAAAATGAATTTTAAATGGAAGATCTATTGGTCGTTATTATTAGAATCACTTATCTTTTATTTATAGAATTGTATTATTTATTTTAAGGCAATAGTATTAGACTAGTCTTTTACCCGGGCGTTGCCCCAGGCGGATTTAGAGAATGTTTGGATATTTTGTAAAAAATATATTTTTACAACATATAAGTGATTTATCATTTTACTTTAAATAGGCGTTTGTTCGTTGTGGATAACAAATTAATTAAAAGGAATATACAAATTAATTTGTCATGAGAACCTTTAAACAACGCGATTATTTACACAATAATTAAATAAGGTAACTCGAGCATATTTTTAGATATATATATATATAGATATAATATTCACTTATTCTTACTTTATTCTTATTTTATCAATTCAATATCAACCACGGGAACTCACTTTTCTTAATAATCGCACCACCTTTCTTGTCACATTGTTAAGTAGCATGGAGATAATATAATGAGATTAGTAGTGATAACTGTGATGTTATAAATGTGCTATTTTTAATATTTAATGAGTAAATTATCATTTAAAAGTGTCAATTGTTTCTTAAAATATAAATGAGAACCTTTATATGAGACGTCCCAAAAAGAAAAGTGAGATCCTTCTATGGGACGGAAGGAGTATTAATTCTCCTCCTTTTTTGTATAATTTACTGAATTTTTTAATTTAGTTGGTAGAATATTCAAACAATAATTAAAAAAAAGGAAAGGATATTCTTCCTTTGTTTTGAACTACTAACTTGTTTATTATCTAGTTGGTAGAATACTCAAACAATAATTAAAAAAAGGAAAAGGATATTCTTGCTTTGTTTTGAATGTATGAAGTATGAACCCAATTTTTGTTCCTTCCAATCTATTACTTCGTAATTTTTTTTCATAACATTGATATGGAAATTTTTACATTAAATTAAAAGAAAAAGGAAGATAAAAGAAGGAAGGTCGGATCTTTAATTTAGTTAACTAAAGTATTGGATAGGTTGATTATTTTCTTACGAATTGTCACTCATTTTAAATTTAAATTTTTTTTTCATTAAATTTAATTTATAATATGTAATTTATTAAAGTTTTTCAATGAAGTTGTGGAAGATGGGGAGCAAAACGAACGTATTATTCCTAGCCATGTATCATTTGTACCTCTAATTCATATAGAGAATACGTAGGTATATATGTGTGTGTGTGTGGAAGGTTAAAATAAGTATGTACGACTATTGTATAACAGGTTTGCAGACATATTATTTTCCATTTTCCTGTGTTAGATTTTACATATGTGCAAATGATTATATTCAAATTAAACAACAGGTCGTACTGAGTTTGATAATATGTTTTTTAATACAATATGTAAATGAATATAAATGTACATAGTATATATTTTTTTAAAATATATTCAAATCAAACATTTCTTTTAATTTACTAGAATATACACTACGTACTGAGTTTGATAATATTTATTTTCAAATGAATATACACTACGTTACTATTGAATTAGCCATCATTAACGTAGTGTAATGAGACTATTATTAATATATGTATACCTTAATGGTCTCATTAATTTTGGAATGTCTAATTACATTGTAATTACTAGCCTGAGTTACATAATTTATATTACATGCCTTAAGATTCTATTACTTGCAAATATGGCCTGAATTAATTGGACTTAATAACAATATGTAAATTCATAATTGTACTCAATAGCAAATAGTTGAAAATTCAATTTCAATTTCAAGGTTCTACTTTATTAGTAAGAAGAAGGTAGACTAGGATTATTATTCTTTATTTATGCTTTGGCCGATCCTAATTAATCGGTGCATCTTCTGTATAAGAGGCGGATGAATTCCCCTCATGAACACACAATAAAATAACCTTCCTCTCCATCTTGTTTTAATATTTTTGTGCGTATGAATCCACAATTTAGCATGGTATCAGAGCACCTTTGATCTTCTTCCGCAAGAATGACACATGAAGAGGAAGGCCAAGATAAACGGCCAATAATTCTTGGCTTTGCCCTACGGACAGAGGGAAATAGCGCAGGATGTGGGATGAAGGCCGAAAAATCTGAACTGTTTTGCACTTATTGCAAATATTCCGGTCATGATATTGCCAACTGTTTCGAGTTCCTCGGATATTCTGACCGGTGGGGTGAAAGGCCTAGGGCGGAAAGTAAAGGAGGAGGATGTGAAAAAACAGCTATTGGAGAACCGCGCATTAAACTACCCGCGAAAGCACATGCGGCGGTTACCGAAAATGGAAATAAAGCATCGGTCAGCGGGGAAGGCAGCATCGGACAGTCTACACCGTTGCCTGGTTTCACGTCCAAGCAGTGGACTACCTTGATGTCCGTCTTTGGTAACTCGTCTTCTACCAATGATCGGGTGGATGGTAAGTTTGATAAAAATGCATGGATTATTGATACAGGTGCCACCAATCATGTGTGTGGAAATTTGACTTATTTGTGTCAAATTAAATCTATTGATCCTTGTTCGGTAGGCTTGCTTGATGGACAGACTGTTATGGCCACTCAAGAGGGGCGTGTAATAATGTCTGATAATTTTTACTTAAATAATGTGCTCTATGTTCCTGCATTGAATTGCAATCTTATCTCGGTATCGCAACTGAGTGACCAACTTGACTGTTTCGTACAATTCACTTGTAATTTATGTGTTATACAGGACCGCCTCTCGAAGAGGCTGATTGGAATAGGTGAACAGTGAAATGGACTGTATTATCTTCGTGAGGAACCTTCAGCACATATTTTGGCAATAAGGGAATCCAGGCATTTGGAGGACGATCTATGGCATCAAAGATTGGGGCATCCATCTTCTCAAGTAGTTGAACATTTGGCTCCTATAAATGGTATAAGGTTGTTCAAAATTCCCCTTGTGATGTCTGTTTTAGGGCAAAACAAACTAGAGATTCTTTTCCTACTAGTTTGAAAAAACACATGGGATTTTTGAATTAGTTCATTGTGATTTTTGGGGTCTTATAACACCCCTTCTTCGTGTGGTGCTAGACATTTTGTGACTCTTATGGATGATTACTCTCGTGCTGTGTGGGTATATATGCTTATTGATAAAAAGGAAGTTTTTAAAATGTTTCTTTCGTTTGTGGCAATAGTGGACCGTCAATTTTCCAAGAAAATTCTTACTATGAGAAGCGACAATGGGACAGAATTTAATTGTTTGAAAGATTTTTTTCGGGCTAGTGGAATTATTTTTCAGACATCTTGTGTTGGCACGCCACAACAAAATGGACGCGTTGAGCGTAAACATAGGCATATCCTAAATGTGGCACGTGCTTTGCGATTTCAATCTAATTTGCCCATTTCTTTTTGGGGAGAATGTGTGCTAACTACATCTCATCTTATTAATCGTACTCCTTCTGCTATTCATCAATATAAGACGCCTTATGAAATATTATTTGGTGTCCCGCCATGTTATAAATCACTCCGTTTTTTGGCTGCCTATGTTACGCTTTTAATATGAAGTCCAAAAGTGACAAATTTCTTAGCCGCAGCAGAAAATGTGTATTTTTGGGTTACCCTTTTGGTAAGAAAGGATGGACTGTTTATGATATTGAGACTTGGGAATATTTTGTCTCACGTGATGTAAGATTTCTTGAGACTATTTTCCCATTTGCTAATTCTCTTGCATCCACTTATCCATCACCAGAGTCATCCTCTACTTTACCCTATGAATACATTGATTTGGAGGCTTCTTGTTATACTTCTACGTCACAACCCACCGAAGCTCCAACTGCTTCAGTTGAAAGTTCTGCTTCGGCCATGTCACCTCCTGTCTCTGCTGATAGTCATCCTGATGATACACCGCCCATCTCTGATGCAGCAGATGCATCCGAACAACCCACAGTTTTGGGACAGAGTCAGCGAGCACGAGTTTCTTCTGTGCACCTCAAAGACTTTGTCACTCACACTATTATTAAAAACAGTCCATTTCTCGTTCCTCTGTTTCGTCATCCTCTTCAGGTACGTCATTCCCTATAACTCATTATATTAGTTGTTATTAATTTTCTCCAAAACATGTTGCTTACTTGGCAGCTCTTGACACTCTTACGGAGCCCCAAACATTTCATGATGCCGTCAAACATGAGGGGTGGCGCCAGGCCATGCGTATGGAAATTGCTGCTCTAAAAAAGAATTCTACTTGGAGCCTTGTGTCCTTGCCTCCTGGAAAGCGGGCCTTAGGATGCTGGTGGGTGTATAAAGTCAAACATAAATCTGATGGTACTGTTGAACGTCTTAAGGCACGGTTGGTAATTTTTGGTAATAGGCAGGTCGCCGGCTTAGACAATACCGAAACTTTTGCCCCAGTTGCCAAAACGGTTACCATTCGTGCATTTCTTGCTATAGCTGCATGCAAAAATTGGGAGCTGTATCAAATGGATGTACATAATGCATTTCTTCATGGTGATCTACATGAAGAGGTATACATGACCATCCCTCCTGGTTACACCACCACTGACTCATCTTTGGTGTGTCGTCTTCATAAGTCTTTGTATGGACTTAAACAAGCTTCACGGTGTTGGTTTGCTAAATTGGTCACTGCACTTAAACAATATGGTTTTCTCGAGTCATATGGTGATTATTCTTTATTTACGCTTACCCGTGGTGTTATTAAGCTCAATGTACTGGTGTATGTCAATGATCTTCTTATCTCTGGAAATGAAGGTACTGCTATCGCTGATTTTAAATCCTACCTTAATGAATGTTTTCGTATGAAGGATTTGGGCACTCTTAAATATTTTCTTGGCATTGACGTTGCCCGCAGTTCTTCTGGCATATTTCTCAATCATAGAAAATATGCACTTGATTTATTACTGAAACTGGTCTCTTGGGTGCCAAACCAGACTCTTTTCTAATTGAACAAAACCATTATCTGGGAGGCGCTTCCGGTCCGCTACACCCAGATCCTGAACAATATCGCCGCCTCATTGGAAGGATCATTTACTTGGCGGTTACTCGCCCGGATCTTACTTATTCGGTTCACATCTTATCTCAGTTCATGCAAAATCCTCGGACTGAGCATTGGTCCGCTGCACTGCGAGTTGTCCGGTATCTTAAGGGTTCTCCGGGTCAGGGTATTCTCCTCCGTGCTGACAGTGATCTTACTCTGACTGGTTAGTGTGATTCTGACTGGGCTGCCTGCCCTCTTACTCAGAGATCCCTTTCTGGTTGGTTAGTGTTTCTTGGTCACTTGCCCGTTTCTTGGAAGTCTAAGAAACAATCAACTGTCGCCCGATCATCTGCCGAAGCTGAACATCGCTCCATGGCAGCTGCTACTTGTGAGCTTAAATGACTCAAAGCTTTGTTGTTGAGTTTGGGTGTTCAGCATTCTCAGGCCATACCGCTCTACTGTGATAGTCAGTCTGCTCTTCATATTGCTAATAATCCCGTGTTTCATGAACGTACCAAGCACATTGAAGTTAACTGTCATTTTGTCTGTAATGCTATACAGCTAATATTATTGCTCCTAGCTATGTTCCTACTATAGTTCAACTAGCTGATATTTTCACCAAAGCTCTTGGCAAAGCTCAATTTCAGACTCTCCTACGCAAGTTGGGCATTCTGGATCCCCATGCGCCAACTTGAGGGGAGTATTGGGCGTTATTATTAGAATCACTTATCTTTTATTTATGGAATTGTATTATTTATTTTAAGGCAATAGTATTAGACTAGGATTATTATTCCTTAGGGAAAACTGTCAAATAGGTCCTCGAACTTTCATAAAAAAGTCAATTAAGTCCTTCTATAGGAGACTCTGTCCGGTCGTCGCGATTTGGGGCGGTTCCCGGTGGAATTTTTTGATGAAATTTTTTGAGCATCTTATTCATAAAGTCTAGTTTACTCATACCAAATTTCAGCTAAAAATTTAATCGGGAGTGCATTCAAATTAATTCGAGAACGCAAAAATGCACAGTTATCTTCAAGAATTAATTTGAATGTGTTACCGATTGAATTTTTAGCTAAAATTTAGTATGAGTAAACTAGACTTAGTGAATAAGATGCTCAAAAAAATTTATCAAAAAATTCCACCGGGAACTGCCCCAAATCGCGACGGCCGGACAGAACTTTCTATAGAAGGACTTAATTGATCTTTTTATGAAAGTTTGAGGACCTATTTGACAGTTTTCCCTATTCCTTATTTATACTTTGGCCGATCCTAATTGATCGGTGCATCTTCTGTGTTGAGTTTAATCCAACACGATATAGTAAATATATGTATAAATGTGTATGAACAACTCAGTTTTTACGTGGAAACCCGAAAGGGAGAAAACCACGGGACTTTTTAGGCTAATGTCCAAGCCCTCTCTTTCTCATTAGGACTCTCCTCACAATTACATTGTACAAGCTCCCATTAATGGAGTATTGAGCTAAGTTTAAGAGAAGGAGGAAGATGAAGCTAAGAGAGGATCCCTAAAACATGGAGGGAAGCCTCCTATAAATAGGGGAAGGGGAGAAGGGGCTCTCCACCCTAATGGGCCAAACGGGCCAGAGTGGGCCCAAATGGCTAAAGTGGGCCGGATGGGCCGAAATGGGCCTAGCTGCTCGGGCCCCGTACTACGTAAAGCCTTGGACTCATGAACAGTAATAGGCCGGGATAATATATCCCAACACAAGTCCCCCAGTTTCTTGAGTAGTGAGCTCGCGAATCTGCTCGAGAAAATATACTCTGCCTGCGCTCTTCCTCTGTCTTGCTGGAAACTGTGTCTTCACATAATCATCATATATGAGTGAGTGTCTGCACTCCTGAACGTAATCTACCAGTGAGGCACCCCCCTTCCCGACAGGGTCGGGCGAAGGGTGCTCCTCCACGGGCACACTCCCCCTGAATGCATCAGGCGGGAGTAAAGGACTCTGACTCGAGCTTTCCAATCGGAGAAGCTTAGAGGTCCATGCATCTATAAACCGACGTCGCGGGTACTGTCAAAACATGATGCACGTGTGTATGTATGAATGTATGAGGTATGATGCATGAATGCATGTAATGTATGGGTGCAATGTATGAGAGAGGGAATGCAAGATGTGATAGGAGCGGTAGCTCTCAACGATAACCCGGGCATGTCAGCGCCGAGGGGCAGACGTGCTGCATAAGAGACGTTCGTCGCCATCCTGAAAGGGATGAGCGACCCTAACGTGAGCCAGACACGATGGCGCTGGGGCGCTAATCGTGCTGCATAAGAGACGTTCGTCGCCATCCTGAAAGGGATGGGCGACCCTAACGTGAGCCAGACACGATGGCGCTGGGGCGATCCGAACGTGAAAGAGACACGATGGCGCTGAGAAGCCGATCGTGCCGCATAAGACGGTCGTCGCCATTCTGGAGGGAATGAGCGAGCCGAACCGTGAAGCCAGGTACGATGGCGCTGAGGGGCCGATCGCACTGCATAAGACGTTCGTCGCCATCCTGGAGGGAATGGGGCGATCCGAACGTGCAAGAGACACGATGGCGCTGAGAAGCCGATCGTGCCGCATAAGACGGTCGTCGCCATTCTGGAGGGAATGAGCGAGCCGAACCGTGAAGCCAGGTACGATGGCGTTGAGGGGCCGATCGCACTGCATAAGACGTTCGTCGCCATCCTGGAGGGAATGGGGCGATGCGAACGTGAAAGAGACACGATGGCGCTGAGAAGCCGATCGTGCCGCATAAGACGGTCGTCGCCATTCTGGAGGGAATGGGCGAGCCGAACCGTGAAGCCAGGTACGATGGCGCTGAGGGGCCGATCGCACTGCATAAGACGTTCGTCGCCATCCTGGAGGGAATGGGGCGATCCGAACGTGAAAGAGACACGATGGCGCTGAGAAGCCGATCGTGCCGCATAAGACGGTCATCGCCATTCTGGAGGGAATGAGCGAGCCGAACCGTGAAGCCAGGTACGATGGCGCTGAGGGGCCGATCGCACTGCATAAGACGTTCGTCGCCATCCTGGAGGGAATGGGGCGATCCGAACGTGAAAGAGACACGATGGCGCTGAGAAGCCGATCGTGCCGCATAAGACGGTCGTCGCCATTCTGGAGGGAATGGGCGAGCCGAACCGTGAAGCCAGGTACGATGGCGCTGAGGGGCCGATCGCAC